GCGAGCTGTGCTGAGGAATGCGCTGGGGAAGAAATCTGCTCCGACACGTTCCCCGGAGCTGCCGGGTCGAGAGTGAAGCAATCAGAGGCGCCCGAGCGCCGGCTGGGCTCCGGTCGGGAGCTCACCGCCTCCTCCCCCCTGCCCGCTCCAGCTTCACGCAGGGATCCTCGCTCCTAAACCCGCTTCCGGCCAGGAATTGGTTGGGGTTGGGTCTCTCTTGCCTTGGAACCTAGAACAAAACTCTCAAAGTGGCGAACTGGGGATTTGAGGAGAATAAGAATCTTTACCTTGCCGAGTTTTCAGGATCTGTCAGGCGCCAGACACTATAGCGTTAAAATAGGGATCTAATTCTCCAGAGCCTATAGAAATGTACAGTGTTTTCTTTTAAAACTTGACCGTAGGTGTGCTTTAAGAGAGCAGAAGAGCTAAAATCTCCGTAGGGGGAGTGTAAGATTTGTGTCCTCTCCTGAAATGCGAAATTTTCTTTGCTGCTCTGGTACACAGAGCTTAAATCCTGTGAATCCGCAGCCAAGTCCTTCAAATGAGAGTTAGTTACTGACATTCCAGACGGAGAAAGGGGATCTGAGAGGTGGGAGAGGCAGCCCGGTTTGGGCCTCTGGCTTAGAACGCCTGACTCTTGTCTGGCTGTGTGTGCAAGAAGACATCTCTCATGTACTGTTCCTCTAACTGAGGCTGTCTCTAAGCAGGAAAGGATTCCATAACTCCCCCTCACTCCCCAAAGGAGAAAGACAAGTCCCAGGTCTCCCAAAATCTCATCAAGAGCTTTGGGTTTCATTCTGATCTGAGAAATAAGGGTGTTTTTTTGGGGGGGTCGTCTAGAGAAGCCAGCATTTGGATCTGCTCTCACTACAGAGCTCAGAAGAGAGTCCTCTCTTTTCTGATGCTCCAGAAATCCTTGGGAGACTAGGGAAGCCAAAGATATGTCCCCACTGCCCAGAAGGAGCCCCCAGCCTTACATGCTAGGCCTGGGGAATTTTCATTCGAAAGGATCAACCCAAAGACCTCTTAAAGGTGGGTCTGAATTTCCTCTGCATCCGGGATTGGGTGGAGAGGTAGAGGTAGATGGAGAAGAATCATTGAATGATGTTACAGAATGTAGCAAAAAACTACATTTTGATAAGCAGTATGAAATCACTTAATATAACATAAGTCAATACCAGAGCTAGACCAACACAAGGCATCCTATTTCTGACTGCCAGAACTGATGGCATGGTTGTAGTACAATGGTCTCATATACTACATTCTCTGCATTAGCTATAAGATTTTTATAGAATACAATTTTATTAATTAATGTGAAGCAAGACTGATACATTTTATAAGATAAGCTATTCATATGTAGACATTCCATAATACATTTATAGAAGATAGGCTGCCTTTCACTTCTCTAGCTCATGAAACAGAAAGCTTCTTGAATGAGGGTCCAGCAGGAATCCTAGAGGTAGTGAAACTGATGGGTCATGTCATGAGGGCCGGTGGGCTGGGAACCTGGTACCCACCTTGCTCACTGTAGGTAGGAACCCAGGCCTAGAGCAAAAAGCAACTATTGGCCATAAAGAAGTATACTAGAAAGAGCTGCTGATGTTTCCCTGAATAGGCATGCGGGCAGTGTGGTGGGTAGAGCATTGGAGAGAAGCTCAGAATTATCTTTGAGCAAATAAACATCCTAAAGATTCCCAGAAACAAAAACAACACATTAAAAATAAACTTTATATCACAGCCTTCTAAAGAGAGATATCTTTAAAATAAAAAACACACAGCCCAACTGAGATTTAATACACTTGCAAATTAAAACAGAAGTGGATATAAAATCCAGTGTGCCTCCGCTGTTCTGAGCTCACACTCCCATGTAGAAATAGATTCTGGCTGGTGCATCTCAGTGCCTGGAGAGGTCCAGGAGAGAGGCAGATGAAAAAGAAATTATCTTCAGACACCCTCCATCTTTCTACCCACACAGGTCTTTTAGAAGTAGTGAGATTTTCAGATAACTCTGTCTAGGCAATTGTGGTTCATTCGGCAACATCTAGCCATAAACACCACTGTCTCTCTTCACTGCCTCTGGCTCTAAGAAACCTCACCTATGGTAGTCTGGGCTGGTGTGGGAGATGGAGGCAATTGTTCAGAAAGATCTAGATAATTAGAGCTGTGAGGAGTTGTGGCTTCTTTCTCTCAATTATACAGACCCATGCTTCACTGCTCTCTCTCTCTCTCTCTCTCTCTCTCTCTCTCTCTCTCACCCACACACACACACACACACACACACACACACACACACTGGTGAGTAGACACTCTTCATTTTTCACAAGAAAGGCAGAAATCTCAGGAGAGAATTAGAAGGAAGAAAAAAGAGAGACAGTTCTGAGATAGATAGATAGATAGATAGATAGATAGATAGATAGATAATAGAGCAAAAAGAAAAACAAAACAAGAAAACAGTGGGTTTTTGGAATTCATACTAAAAGTCTGTACTGACAAAGTCTTTGAATTTAAGTTGAATAGAGCTGAGCAGAATAGTCCTCAAATCCCAGAGCTTACTAATGAGGTGGGCAGGGTTTAGGCTCCCTACACATGAGCCTCCCGAGCCCAAAACACAACAATGACACAACATTGTTTTCCTTCTTATTTTCTCTTCATAGATGCTGATTAGATTCAGAGGTACGAATTGGTTGGTGTAGGTGACCTGGAAGAACATTAGGGCAGGGGACATTGGGAAACTAATAGCCAAGTCCCTGTTCTATGCAGTGTAGACACAGCTCAAAGTCTAAGCTACCAGATGCTCTCACATCTAGAGAGCCCACTTTCTTTCTAGCCAAAACAGCAGACAATGGGAGGTGCTCCTTCGAGAAGGAAAGGCAGGAGCTATTTCCTCAGGAGGCAAAAGCAACCTGCTGTTCTGTTTGACCCATGAAAAACTTGGTAAAGTCAATCCTTGACATCCAATAAAGAAAATAATAATAATAATAATAATAATAATAATAATAATAATAATAATAATAATAAAATAATAATAATAACCAGTTTAGAGCAGTTATCTACCTTTTAATCAGATTTTTAGGTCGGTGTTGATTAGACTTCATTAGAATTTAGAGTTGATGTTTAGGGAGCTACACATAGTGAAGTTTAAAAAAATCAGCCACAATTAACTGGTTCCTCCAAGAACTGAAACCCACCTTTATCTCACTTTGCCCTTCAACAAAGGGGATATGCCCCATTTCTATTTTGACTCTTACGGTGGCAGTATGTGAAGAGTCAGAAGAATCTAGATTCTTGTTCTGTCATTGAAGTCATTTTCCCTACTCTTGAGCCTCTGACTTCTGATCTTGTAAAGAGTGTTTAGTAAAATACAACTGGAGTAATGTTCTGAGGGGGGAAAAGCCCTCATCATATCACTACTCATCATTTTTATTCTTGTCCCAGAATCATCAGTTTCTCAAACCATTGGTTTCATCTATAAGAATAAAACAAATTGAAGCTAAGTCCTTTAAAATTTTGTCATACACACACACACACAGACACAGACACACACACACACACACACACACACACACACACACACACACACACACACGTCCTTTTAACTTTACAGATCATATCTGCTAAACTGAAGTTGCTTTTTTTGGGTTAAAAAAATCTTGGCTTACTTACACAGTGGCAGAGAAACATTTGCTAAATTAAATAGATAATTTTCATGAGAAGTCACCATAAAGACAGCCTGAACAAACCACAGGAACCCCTTTCCCATTTTATTCCTGGGCTCTATATTTCTTTCTGCATTTGATTTTAACCTCCCCCTTTCCCTCCTTGTATGGTGGGCCTTGGGTCTCTGGGAGAAAGCCAGATTCACTAGGAATGGTAGTGTAGGGAAAATGCTTATGGGGCAGGGTGTAACACTTCAGCAGATGCCCCCTGCCTTCAGAATTGTCCGGTAATTTCAAAGGGCCATAGGAATGAAGAGGTACTCAGTCATTATCATCCACCTGAAGTCCAACAATGGCCAGGAAAACAATGAGGGTTGAGCTAGTCACACAATCTCCCTACTACTGTGGCCTTTCACTGCTAAGAGTGCAGATGGAGAGTGACATACTACTTTGAATTCCTGTGGAATGCTCCAAGCCTGAAGAAACTAAAAGAATAGTGGCTGGGTTAGAACCTAGGGTACCAGGGTGTCAAAGGTTTCTTTCAGCCTTGGAAGAAGAGAAAAAGGAAGGTTGGGATAGAATTTGTTCCTTTTGGTGAAACATGGGTATGGACTTCCTCTTAAAGCAGCAGGACCTCCCTCTTTGGGTGGTGTTAAATGGTTCACAACACTGGGCCCCCATTTCCAAGTGATTGATCCACAAGCAGTCTGGCTTCATCTGATAGTTTCTTCTCTATGTTGGTGAATCAAATCCATAGTGCAAGGCTAGACTAGTTCATGGGCCTGAGCACTCTAAAGCCTAAGGACATACTTGATGTTCTATAACCCTGTAGCTGACACTCTTCCTGCGATGCTCTCCTCAAATATACAACCTAAGTCCTTCCCCTGACAAAGAGGAGAATATAGGGACTCTGTTGTACTAACTGGATGAAGGGGTTTTCTGAACAGTGACACTCCAGCAAGCATAACCAGGAAGAGGACTTAGGGTTACTGATCTAAGAGTATAGGGTTTCCAATAAAGGGTGTTTGTGCAGAGCCATAGTGGAGACTGAGGCAACAAGAAAAATCAGATCCTCTGTTTTATTTTTAAATAACGTTTTATCATGCCTTTTTTGCATTCGTTTTGATTTACTTTTTTTTTTAAAGTGCCTTAAAACATTATCTTGACTATTGAGTTTTTTGAACCCCTTTGTTTAAAGTTTATACCCAACAGGAGGCTGGTACCCAGTAGATTACCTTTTGTGGCCATACAACAGAGGTGTTTAGGATTGGGGCGCCTCACCAAGCAGTACATTCTGGCGGCCCAGTTGGGAGACCCTGTGGGACCTGCGCCTGCAGGCCCGTGGCCCTGGCCGCCCACCTCACTTGCTCCTGCCCTCCTTCTCTCTTCCTCCCTAGAAGTGGTTCCCCTACAGCCTGAAGTGAGCAGCTACCGGCGTGGGCGCAAGAAACGTGTGCCCTACACCAAGGTGCAGCTGAAGGAGCTAGAAAAGGAGTATGCAGCCAGCAAGTTCATCACCAAAGAGAAGCGCCGGCGCATCTCAGCCACCACGAACCTCTCGGAGCGCCAGGTCACCATCTGGTTCCAGAACCGGCGGGTGAAAGAGAAGAAGGTAGTCAGCAAATCGAAAGCACCTCATCTGCACTCCACCTGACCATTCACCCGCCCGCCCCGTCTATTTATGTCGCCGCTTTGTACCATAACGGGAATCCACCCGAAGGACGCTCCACCGGTGCAGACCACTATTTAATCTTACCGAGAAAGAGGGAACAGCGCGTTGCGCTCTGCCTTACCTTACTCCCCATCCCACCCCTAAACTCAACCTCCCCAAAGGGCACCCCCTCAGCATCCGCAGCTGTAGAGGTGGGTTAGGATGGATTGCGAGAGGAAGACTGCCTCTACACTCTGGCCTTCATGGTTTGTCCCACTAGAAAGCAGAGTGGCCAGGAAAGCCCAGTCATTCTGTCAAAGCGGAGCTGAGGGGTTCCAAATGACTCAGTTCTTGCCTCTTCCTGTGCCTCAGCTTGTGGAAGACCCTCCTTCCGGGGGCGCATGGGCACAGGATCTGGGGAGCTCTTGCTTTCTTTCCTGTTTCTCCATTTTACTATCGCCCCTGCACTCTGTAGGCAAGCTTTCCCAGTTTCGATTTTTCTGTGCATCTTTTAAAAGTCGTGTTAATATTGATAATCTTTAGGGCCTGGCAGTGTGGTTGGAGTTGAGACGATGCTTGGAGCTTGTAGGATTTCTTTTTTGTTTCTTTTGGTCTCAACAAAAGCTGGACTTGGTGCAGCCCCTAGCCACATCCTACCCCAGAAATGATTTCCCGGGAGGTGCCTTTGACCCCACTATCTCCTCTACTTTGCACTCTCAGTCCCGTGGAAATCCAAGGAGGACAAAAACCTCCAGTCACAATGCTAAGTGCGGTCTCTCTCTCTCTCTCTCTCTCTCTCTCTCTCTCTCTCTCATAGTAAGGTTGGGAATTAGGCCAGGCTTAGAATCAGAACTTTTATAAACTTTAAAGGAGATGGAGGGTGGGTCCCTCAGAAGATCTTCAGTCCTTTCTCCACATAAGCAATAGCAGATATTGGAGAGACCATACACTTTCATTTTTACTGATTTCCTAAGGGGTAGCTTGAGGAGCTGATCAAGGAGGCTGAAATCACTGGCTCTGGATAAACCAGCTAAATGTAGATGCTGCCTAATTTCTCCCTCCTCAAAAACCAACTTGGTGCTGTGGGGGCCCCCTCACCTCCTCCCTTCCTACTGGCTCATTACAAAACAGTGTTCTTTTGAAATGCCCATTCGAAATAGGCTCTTTTTTTTTAAATGTTGTGTATCTGTATATAGTATTGTGATGTCTGAATGACAATGTATTGAATGCAAAGAAGAAAATAACCCACAAACTTGTTTTTAAAATAAAATATCCTTTTGTTTTTGGCCTTGATTTTATTGCTCAGATTCCTTCTAAAGCCCTTCTCTCCTGACTCTTCAGGGAAGACTATAATGGCCCAAACCAGTCAGCCAGAGCTGGGGAAGAATATAGACATCACCTACAACAGTAAATCCCCAACCTTTATTTCTCTCCAGGAAAGTTTTGGAACCATTTGGATTTTGTATTCTATTTAGATAAGAGAGCTTGACATCTAAATACCCAACTTAGATTAATTTGTATTGGGAGAGGGAAAGACGTGATCTGCCACTGAAAAAGTTTGAAAGTGGATGAGAAAAGGTCATTGGTGAATAATTTGTAGTTAGCTTGGTGGTAGAGCTCTTATCTAGCATGTCCAAGGCTCTGGATTTGCTCTCTAACTGTTTCTAGGGTGTTAGGAAGGTAACATCTTGGCTGAGAAATGACTGGGGAAATGGTAGTAATGGTAGGGGTGGTAGGTAGGTCATCTTAGGCCCCTATAGGCAGACTTCCATAGGGGTTCACAGCCAGATCAGGCCTGGAGTTGGGTTTGGGGTGGTCTTTGTACAGTTTGACAGAGATAGCTTGGAGCTCAGCTTTCCCAGGCTGTACACTTTTCTTTGTCCCATCCACCTAAATGAAGAAATCTGATTGCCAGAAGCTTTGAGCATCCAGTTTGCCAGGCCAGCTCCATTTTTATTTTCTAGAATTCCTAAGAACCTCTGTCTTCCAGGGGCCTGTGTAGATGCTGCCACTAATTTGTTTTCCTTGTCGCGTCTGTGCCTATCTCCCTATCTGGTAGAGTTAATGAGATCGTTAAGTTGTCAGGTTAAGAGACTTTTAAAAAGCAATATAGCCTAAAACAATGTTATCTCAGATTAAATCTTTACTGCAGCAATTTTTATTTATATATAATATTTTTTCTCTCCTGAGACACAGAAAGACTGGAGGCATCAAGTTGAAAATCAGATTTCTCTGGCTCCCTTTGCCTGATGGAGCTGAAGCTTTTAAATTTTAATGTAAATAAATATTTTCTTGGGGGGGAGGCAGCATACATACACACACACACACACACAGAGAGAGAGAGAGAGAGAGAGAGAGAGAGAGAGAGAGAGTCTGAGAGACAAAGAACCTGAAGAATTTACCCTCCATGGAGTCTATGCTATTGAAGTTACTGCCAGTCCTATTCAACACTCAACTCTGGGCTGACTATAGAGAACCACACACTTGGCAGTGGGGATTTGAAAGGGAATAGGTGAATCTCCCAGAAACAAGAGTCACTGTTAATTTTATTTCCCTTTCTCTCCCCACCAACAATCCGAATCTCTTTTCAAAAGCCCCTGGACTTCTCTGAAGACAAAAAGAGTTGTTTAGACAGAGAAATGAAGCAAATTTAGGGCTCTTCTGGTATGGGTCCTCAGATGTCTTAGTCATCCTGGTACTCCTATAACACTTTGTAGACATAATGAAAGCTGAGGACTTCATGGGTAAAGATAATTTTAGGGTTCTCCAAGGTAGCCCTCCACTTCTGCACACAAACCTACACTTAATCAAAGGGTCAAGTCTTAGCTGGTGAGGTGGCATCCAGCTCTATCTTGGGGTGGAGATAGGAGGATTGATTGAGCCTAGGCATTCAGGGTCCACCTAGGTAACATAAGCAGATGACCCTTTGATGCAGGAAAATAAAGTCTTCCTACGAGGAAGGAAGCACCCTAAGCTCTCAGAAGCAGGTGATGGGGCTCCTGAGGACACACCACCGGAACACCGGGAAGGCAAGTAAGGTTTACAAACATTCTCTGTGCCCAGTGTGCCCAAGCGTGCCCAGGGTTCTTTGTATTTTCAAATACTCAACTGGATATATCAGCTTGATTTTTGAGCATTTTCAGACCTGGATTAATTTTGGAGATGCACCTCCAATCAGAGTAAATAAGTACTGTATAAAGCTGTGTGATCTTGTGTTCTAGGGAAGCAAAGATGGGAAACTATTCTTTGCTTGGTTGAACCGGCTTTCCTTCTTTCAAGAGATAATACCATCTTTGGGGATGCATGTGTGCCAGTTCCTTTGAGCAATAGAGACTGTCCTCCTGCTTGCATGTGTGTGAGTAGTCAGCTCACTCATCTCAAGCTGAAGAGTGATTTTGTCTTTATTTACATGCATCAAAGAAAATCTTCCTCTTCATGAGCAGTCAGTCTCCTAAGATTTGGTTGGAGTAAGGGTTTTGTAAGCAACTGTAAGGGCACCTCAGCATGGCAGAAAGGGCTGTGAACACAGAGGTTTCCTCCTTGGAAACAGAGGCTCTAGTTCTCACAATCCCACCTTTCCCCAGCTTCTCCAAGCCCCAAGACCAAAAGCTGGGATGTCTAGGACCACTGGGGTTTCATAGTACTCTCCTTTGAAGGTCATTTTGCCATGATGCCAGGTAGGACTTGGAATGAGTCTTTTGGTGTTAGGGGAGAAAGCTCCTGTCTGCCCACAATATTCCCATCTAGGGCTAGAAGGATGGCCTTCTCCGTAAAAGTCTCAGAGTCGGGAACCCACCTGAGAAAGTAAGTCCAGAAACTCTCGGCAGATCCCTCCATGGCTTCTTGAAAGACCATCTTCTCCTGAGTTTGATCCACAGGCGTCTAAGTTAACAATGGGGATGAGGTGGTGGATAACAACCCATGTAGATGCATAGCACTGTCAGCTCTATAAAAGGCCCTCCTACTGGAGCTGAGGGTCCCTGTAGCAGCTCCGTTCAAATGAGAATTCTCCCACCCAGAACCCGCCCGAATCCTGGCATAGTGTCAGAGCCCACCTTCAAGAAAACCCCAAGAACAGATGTGGATCTGTGGAGAGTTGAGGGGCCCTGGGGAACGAGGGGCTTCTGGGAGGAGGGGGGCAGAGCTTTTTCACAACCAACCAGACTCTTCCTCTTTTAGCCTTGACCGTGACTAGGTCTTTCTGACCTTGACATCACAGAATCACCGGGAAAGGGGGGAGGGTGGAAAAGGCCTTGATCTTCCGGTGGCCAGAAAAAGGGAGGGCCGCTTGCCCCCTAGAAGCGCCATCCCTCTTCCCGCCGGAGCCCTCAGCCTCTGTTTACACACGGAGGAGGTGTCGTCTCTAGTCTAGACAGGGGCGCTAATAACGCCCATAAAAGGCGGCCTCTCCAGAGAGGCTCTGGTAACTCCGCTCCTGATCGCCTGCTGCTGACTGCTCCCTCCGCCTCTGGCGCCCCGCCCCTCAGATACCTTGGCGGAGCCGGTGGGCAGCAGTGGGGGGGATTCAGAAGGTTTCTAAAGACTGATAACCCCTTCCCCTCGCCCTTCTGAGCCTCCTCAGTCTCCAAAGGTAAGTGGACTCCTGCGCTCCCAGCCCAGCCAATATGTGTGTGGGGGGTGTGTGGTAACAACTTCTCTCACCCAGGAATAACCTTCCGAGAGGGTATACTGCTCCAACCTAAAACATACCCCTCTCTCAGGACTGGGACGCTGGTTTTTTTTGAAACAGCTGAGTAGCTGTGTTGGGCAGAACCTAAGCATATCTTCGTCCTCCCCAGGGCTGGGCCTAGCCAGTGGGCACTATCACTATCACGGACAAAGGGCAAGGCTGAGCAATGAGGGAACTGGGAGTAGTACTCCCACCCCATCCCCAACCCAGCTTTGAGGTGCAAGAAACCAGGCCTGGGGCTCTCCTCTGGTTCCAGTAGCAATGGGTGTGGCATTTATAGGGAAAAAAAAAAAAAACAACTTGGTCCCCACACCTTTCCTGACACTAAGTAATTTACTAGTCAAGGAGATCCTCTGCTGGTGGAGGGGGAAAATGTCAGAGTTGACAATCTATTTAACTGTTAGCACCACAGTAAAACCTCGGAGAAAATAAGGGAGATGTCTCCCTTATTTGAGGTGCTCATGATGGTAGTCTTCCAGATGTCTCACCACCTCCCAGTTTCCTGAGTGAAAAGTGAGCTGGGGCATTTTGATGGGCGGGACCCAGAGGAGCCTGAGCCTGAAAGCCTGCTTGAGCTTCGGGGTTAATCCAAGCCTCCACTTCCAGGCTGCAGATCCCTAGAAAGCAGCACTGCGCAGGCGATCTCCCAATTTGAGGCCTTGGTTTAGGGCACTTGCAGGAATGGTGGAGACCAGATGGACTCCGTCCCCTAGAGGAACCAGTGAAGAGTCCAATTAGGAGAGACAGAGGCCTCCCTCTACCCTATCCCATAGCCTTATCTGAATGTGAAAAAGGTCCATCCCAAGCCTGAAGAGTCCCAAAGGGATCAGATGGGGGCAATGAATGAAGAGAATCCCCCACCCCCAGCCATCATTTTTCTTCTCCTTAGTAGAGCTCCAGCTTACATCCCTACAAGGGCTGGTCCCTGCCTCATTTGCATATGCAGTGAGCCCCTTTCTGAAAACTAGGCAATGACCTTGAACCGGGTCTCTATGGCCTCAGCTCACCAAAGAGAAAGCAAAAGCGAACCAAATAATTCTCAGTTTAGGATTAGCAGAAGAGCCTAAATCCAGCCTCATCACGGCCGACCGCTTTGCCTGGGCCACCAGATCCTGCGGAGATTTTATAATTAGCTTCTGTCTATCCCGCAGCAGCAGAGGCCAAAGATGCGGGAGGGATGGAGGCGCAGAGAAGGTGTGGGGAGATAGAGGGGCACCCTGCTGGTAAACGATCCTGAAGGACGCTGGCTGCCTTTCTTGTGTGTTCAGGGGAAACCTTGGACTATATTCTTGCCTTCAGCTTTAATTAACCTCCGAGTTAATGAACAGGGCATGGCTGAGTCTGGCCAGCTGTGGCGTAAGCCAGTGGCCTAGCAGATATGCCACCCCTTCCCTTCGAGCCTCATGATTTGATGAATGTACAGGAGAGTTCCGAAGCATCAATTGTTCCGCTGTTGAACGATGGTGATGATTTTGTGTGGGGGCAGCGGAGGAGTGACGGTGGATTAAATCAGACTAAATGCGGCTACCGAAAGTCTTGGACTGCCATAACCCTCCTGGTTCCCCATTTAGCCTCAGCCCGCCCTTGGGGAACCGCCCTTGACGAGCTAGATTTAGAGTTGAAGCTTCGCACCCTAGCCTCCCGCAGGACCTGGGGATCCAGGTTGGAAGTGGTGTTTTTGTCCGAACCCGGTTTAGAAACTGGGCTACTAAGCTGCGCGTGCTGCCAGGTTACCTTGAGGCATACAGAGTTTATCGTGATACTCGGAGAAACTGGACGTTTGGGTTGTCAGGGTCCTCAGCGGGGGGCCCTGAAAACCCCTAAATTTACAGGGTCTTGGAGAGCAGGACTCTGGGAACAGGGATTTTGCTGAAGACAGTCCTCAGCTTTCCTTGACAAAAATTAGCATGTGTTGCTCAGAAGAAGAGGGTTTTGTGCGTGGACCTGTGCCAAGTCTGAAACCTAGAGAAAATGGTTTTGTCAGGGTCAAATCATGCTGGGAAAAATGCGTGTCGGAAGAAGGAACCCATTCTCATTTCCCCTGGCGCTGCATCTGCCGCCCTGTGGCTGCTGCTTGAGTACTCAGCAGTGTGACCCAGGAAGACAGCGAGAAAAGCTTCTGGCCTGAGATTTGTAGCTATGGAAAGATGGGAGAAGGACCCTCTTCCTGGGGTCCCTTTTTGTGGAGATTAGCATTGTCCGAAGGGAAACTAGAACGGGGAGAAGACTCCACCCAACAAAGGCTAGTGACTATGGCAAAGCCAGCTCGGCATCCCTCACACCAACAATAGCGGCAGAGCGCCGAGGCCGGGAGAGCCTGGGCGGAGACCTCGCTGCCAAGCGCAGTGCTCTGATTGAAATCTGTAATATTGAGATCACATCCCTTTGATCTTTATGACCAAAATGACCTCCAGATAATTTTTTTAAACTAGATGTTCGTGTGCCCTCAATGAATCTTGAAAACGGAAAAATAAATGAAATTCAAAGATGCTGTGACATGAGATCTGTAACTGTGGGATGCTCCTCTCTGCAGCCTTACAGCCCCTTAATAATTTACACACACACACACACACACACACACACACACACACACAAACCCCACTGCGGGCCGGGTCTCCTTCTGGTTCTGATGTGAAGGTTGCGGTAGAGGCTGGCATCCCACCGCCAGGACCTCGGTGCTTCCAGCTTGTGGGCCAGGCGCTGGGCGGGCTCCTGGG